AGAGTTAGAACCCTGTGCCTCAAAACTTAGGGCTGTGACCATACCCACACCACTTTAAAAGTTGCTTTTATTATGACTCAAGTGGGAAAAAATGTTACTAAATTAACTGAGCAGTCAATCCAAGGGGTCAGAAAGAGGAACAAAGGCATTAATAACAATAAGTGCAAAATTTAATGGATTCAAATATTTGAAAAGAACTGGTCAATAAAATCCAATAGGTGGTTCCTTGAAAAGACAAATTAGTGAAATTCCAGTAAGACTAAACAAGGAAAAACATTGGAAATACAACTACAGAATTTCTTTTTTTTTTTTTTTAATGTTTAATTTTGAGAGACAGAGTCAGAGTGTGAGCAGGGGAGGGGCAGAGAGAGAGGGAGACACAGAATCCGAAGCAGGCTCCAGGCTCCAAGCGGTCAGCACAGAGCCCGACGCGGGGCTCGAACCTGTGAACCGTGAGATCATAACTGAGCCAAAGTCAGACGCTCAACCAACTGAGCCACCCAGGTGCCCCCAATTACAGAATTTCAAATGAAAAGGGGTGCTTGTTCCTAGAGAGAGTGGGGATATCTCCCATCCAGAATTTCTCTCCACCTGCGTAGATAGATCAAGAAGGCCCTGGGCCCTCTGCCTTCCTGGGCTTCACCAGTGCAGTCTCCCAGCAGACAGTGGGAGAAGGAGGGCGAGGTCAGAGGAGGTCTCTGCTTGGCCCCCTCTGTGCCTCAGGCTGGCTGCATGTCCCCAACCCAAGATCACTACTCCTGATAGCCCACGTGACTCTCCACCCTTCAGTCCCAAAGGCAGAAGTGGCCCTGCTCCCAGCTCCACATTAGTGTTTTGACTTCCCCTGTACTCACACCGGGCTTAATAGCTCCTGTAGCGGTAAACCCTCCCGGGACGGTCCTACGTCAGTGTGCTGTCTCTGTCCTATTGGAACTCTGACAGATACACCTGCAAAGCTAAGTTTCTTTACAATGAAGATTGTTGCCATTTGCAACAACATGGATGGATCTAGAGGGCACAATGCTAAGTGAAATGAATCAGAGAAAGACAGATACCATCTGATCTCACTCATACATGGGATTAAAAAATAAAACAAACAGGACAAAAAGAGACAAACAGGAAAACAGACTCTTAACTATAAAGAACAAACTGGTGGCACGTCTGGGTGGCTCAGTCAGGTAAGCAGCTGACTTCGGCGGTTGGTGAGTTGGAGCCCCGCATCGGGCTCTGTGCTGACAGCTCGGAGCCTGGAGCCTCCTTCGGATTCTGTGTCTACCTCTCTCTATGCCCCTCCCCTGCTCATGCTCTTTCTCTCTCTCTCTCTCTCTCAAAAATAAACATTAAAAAAAAAGAAGAAGAACAAACTGATGGTTACCAGAGCAGGGTGGGGAATGGGTGAAGTAACTGAAGGGAATTAAGAGTACGCTTACCATGATGCACACTGAGTCATGTTTAGAATTGTTAAATCACTATACTGTGCAGCTGCAACTAATATAAAACTGTATGTTAACCATACTGGAATTGAAAAAAATTTTTAAATAAATAAAATAAGATGAGATTGTTTTCCAGGAAAATATAGATTAACAAAATGGATTCAAGAAGAAATCAAGGGCCGCCTGGCTGGCCCAGGCAGTAGAGCGTGCAACTCTTGACCTTGGGGTTGTGAGTCTGAGCCCCATGTTGGGCGTGGAGTTTACTTAAAAATAAAATCTGGGGCGCCTGGGTGGCTCAGTCGGTTGAGCGTCTGACTTTGGCTCAGGTCGTGATCTCACGGTCCATGAGTTCGAGCCCCACGTCGGGCTCTGTGCTTGACAGCTCAGAGCCTGGAGCCTGCTTCAGATTCTGTGTCTCCCTCTGTCTCTGCCCCACCCCACGCACACTCTGTCTATCTCTCAAAATAATAAATAGACATTAATTTTTTTTAATAAAAAATAAATAAAATCTTTAAAAAAAAAAGAAGAAATCAAAATATACCAATAACCGAGGAAGAAAGTGAAAATATTAAAGTATTATCTGCAGCATAAGACCAGGCATAGACAATGTTAAATGCAAGATCCATGCTTTCTCGCTTCCAGGAAGTTTGCACTTTTAAAATCTTGGAATGTGCTAAAAGGAGAGAGATTTTCTAAGCTAAGTCGACATAAAGTGATATCAAAACCTGACACAAATAGCTTACAAAACTGAAACAACAAACCACATTTAGTTCTTAGAAGAGATACAGAAATCTTAGCAAATTGAATCTGGAATTTTCTTCAGATTAGTCAAATAGAGTCTGTTCTGTGAAGACAAAAATGGGTCGGTATTGAAAAATCTTGTATCAACTTGCTTAGAAAAAGGCAAAAAATAAAATTAAATCCTAAAATTTACAGTAACTTAGGAACAGAAAGACACTTCCTGAATTTAGAACAGAGAGTCTATCTGAAACTAATATCCAAGGTTATATGGTTTAGTGAAACATTACAGATAATCCTATTAAAATCAGGAATAAGATAATGATGCCTGCTATCAATATTGTTATTTAACATTGAACTTTAAAGCTCTCACCAATGTAATAAGACAAGAAAAGTAAATGTGAGATATTTATATTGATAGGAGAAAATACCATTATTTGCAAATATAAAGATATATTTGCAAAAATATGAAATATATTTACAAATCAATGAAAAAAATAAACATAATATAGAAAATTGAGCAAAAAACATAATTTAGCAATTCACAAAAGAACACAAATGGTTCACCAAAACAGAAGTAAATATTCCATATTGTACCTATCAAATTTAAATAACTAATGAGATAATTTGGGTAGGGAGAAAGAGATACTCTCATACTCCATTCTTCAAAAAGTGTGCCAATTTGCACACTCACAATTTGACAGCATGTTTTAAAACCTTTAAAATGTACAGACTCCTTGACCCTACATTTCTGCTTCCAGGAATTCAATGTCAGAAGAGGACAGAATTATCTTAGCTACATAAAGGGGCGCGTGGAGGGCTCAGTCAGTTGGGCGTCCGACTCTTTATTTCAGTTCAAGTAATGATGCCAGGGTCATGGGATCAAGACCTGTGTGGAGCCTGCTTAAGATTCTCTCTCTCTCCCTCTGCCCCTCTCCCCCCCTTGCACTCTCTCTCCCTCTCTCTCTCAAAAAAGAAAAAAATAAAAATAATTTAAATAAGAATGGTTAGGGGCAGAAAGAGATAGAATCACATTCAAGAGTGTTCGTTGTTTGTAACATCAGTTTACAGTAGTTGTTTCATTGAATACATTATAATATGTTCATATATTCATCAAATAAAATATATGGTCACTGAAGTAATGTTGAAGTGCTCATTTATGATTTCTGAATTGTGCGCAATCTGTTTTGAGTGGACAAAAATCAACTTTCAAAATAATATGCAAAGTATTAGCCCACTCTTATTGTATATATTATTTTTTTGTCCGAATGCATTAAACATTAGTATACTTAAAATGCTAATAGTGCTTATCTCTAAACAAAGATACACTAATTTCTTGTTTTGTCTTAACATTTTAAAAAGGTTTCATATCTGAACCAAGCTCAGTAAGTTGTGAATGGAGCAACCATACTGGGGGATTTAAGTACTTTCTTCTATTTGGCTCAGTTCAGAGAGCCCCAGGGAGCTCAGCCTTTGGCCCTGTTTGTTAATTGCCTGCTGTAGATATTTGGTGCCTGATCTTAAGAAAATTGCTTAACCTCAGTTTTCTCAATGAAGAAATACTAAGAATAATTTTACAACCCTTGGTAAATCTTAAGCCTCAAAAACAGAAAACTATGATGTTGCCCTGCCCTTCCCCAAAATCAAATCTGAATTTGATGAATTTTCCAAACCCAACCATTAATTTACAAAAAGCAGAGGAGGAACATCGTGTCCCCAAACCCTACAGGAATACTGTGAGCAAAATCCCAACACTGAGAGACTCTGCTGGACAAAGAACCCAGTTTCTTCAATAATCTATAACATGATACACAAATAAGAGATCTGATAATACATCATATCAACCAATCTCAACCCTGTTGGCCTTATTTCAGTTCTTATTCAGACAAATAATTTTTTTTTTTTTTTTTTTTTTTTTTTTTTTTTTTTACTATATAATGGCATTGAAGAGAATTGAAGAGAAATTTGTGAATTTAAACACTGGCCATATATTAGATGATGCTAAGAAACTCATTAATTTCTCAGGTCATGTAATGATGTGGTTTCTTCTAAAGCATCCTGTAAGAGTCACACTGAAATATTTATAGATGAAATGATAGGATACATTGCATTTGCTTTAAAATAATCGGAGGTAACGTGGGTGTGGATGGGGCAGGGTTGGCCATGTGTTGATGGGGGGGTGCATAGGGACTATCCTACCATTCGGTCTACTTTTGTGTTCATTCACATGTCACGATCACAAGAAAAAGCTGATTTTTAAAAAGCAAATAGTGTTCTCATTTCAATCGTAAAATTTGCAAATAAGAAAACAGGACTCCTTTGCCAGCAGAGACTGGAAATAAAATGGAAAGGCCAAGTCGGGAGGAAATTCAACGGCAAAGCGATCCTTCTCCCTCAATGTCCTGACACATTAGAAAATTGAGATAAGAATTTGTAAACACCATCCTTGGACCAGACTGCCAACCAACAGAACCTCCTTCCTCTTCTCTGAGTAGCATTCCGGAGGCCAGGAGAGCCCACGGAGCCATCGGCACCCTGTTCCTGGGAAAGTGAATGCGTAAGCACTTGGCCCAGACTCGGGGATGTACTGCCATCACGGGGCTAAGATGGGCCACTTGCCTTGCGCTTGTCTGGGAACTAACTTCTGTGGCCCTGCTGTCCCGATCCCTCAAGGGCTGTTATCCCCGGTATGGCTGAGGTAGAGTGGGGTCACACAGCCAGGGAGTGGCCGAAGTGGGACACAGACACCCCCCCACGTCTGCTGGCCCTTTCCCCACTTGGACCCAGAGCCCAGTCGACGTAAGTTCTGTCCCCCCCACTTCCGACCAGGTGCTGAAGACCTGCGCGCCAGCCCCCATGGTGATCGAGACGCTTTTCAACTCCTACCCTCAGCTCCGCGTGTCCGAGTCCTGGCGGGAAGTGATTCCGGAGGAAGTATTTCAGGTAAGGGAGCGGCCTTCCTTCCCCCTCAGCACAGCATCGCTGGGTTTCTGCTCACCCGCCCACGCATGAGTGTGTGTGTGTGTGTGTGTGTGTGTGTGTGTGTGTGTTTCCTCACACTATACCCAGGGAAGCGCAAAGCATCAAAAAAGGACAGAGAAGGCAAAGTGGAGGTGTATCTAGGTACCCAACAAAGTCCACGGTCACTGTCAGTTAAGAAACTGTGAGGACGTTCCCCCCCCCAGCCCCCATAAGCCTCCAGAAGCTCTCCCCTCACGTCTCATTGACTGGAGTTCTGTGCACATTGCCCAACAGCGAGTGCACCGTGCAGTGGGGGGAGCAGAGCAGGGTTTGAGGAGAATACCTGTGTTACCTGTGGTGTCACCCAAAACGGACTTCCTTCAGACCCCCTAGAACGGCACCTCAGGAAAATCCACGCGCCCCCTTGGTGGAGGGCGCTGCTGGCTGTCAGGTGCAGCGCTCGGGTTGATCTCCCGCCTGCCTTCTTTCCAGATGCACCAGGCCTTCTACCGGTCTTTGTTTGCTTTGGCCCACACCCCCCGCTGTCTGCAGCACCTGTGCCGTTGTGCCATTCGGAAGTTACTTGGCAAGAAGTGTTTCCGCCTCGCGCCCCTGCTACCCCTCCCAAAGTCCCTGCAAAATTACCTCCTTTTGGAGCCGGAAGGTGTTTTGTACTGAAAACCAGAGCGCTGGGACTGAGGCTCTGATTCTCACTGCTGCCTTCCGTAGAGGCGGTGCGCTCGGGGGAGGAGGGGCAGACCTGGAGGGCACCTGCCACGTCCCCTGGAGGACGCACAGACCTCACAGATTCCCGGTCACTTTGGAACAGAACTGGCAATAAAAGGCCTTTCTGCCTCTCAGGGTTGCTCGTGAGGGTCAAGGTTGTGAGTTCCACAGTACTGGCATCAGAGAGTACTTTCAACAGAAGTTGAACGAAAAGATACACTTGTTTTCCCAAGGCTTGTGTCCTGCCTGCAGTGGGTTAACAGCCTCCATGCTGCCCATCAGACCATCCGCCTCACAGGCACTGTCCCACCCCTCCTGGAGCCTGGCCGCCTGGAAGGGCTCTGTGCCCAACACATGAGAGGGGTACGTACTGAGAGAGAACACCTGTTTCCATAACAAGAGCGCCTTTCTGGAGCCCCCTGGTGCTTCCCAGCACATCACAGTCCCGAAGCCCCTAAGGGACATTGGAGGGGCGGCGAGCCCAGCGTTCTGGTCCCATGTGAGTCTTCTGACACTCTCGCCAAACCCCAAATGATTCAGCCGTGGCAACCTGCAGGAAGCCAGATGCCAGGAACAGACACGGGTTGGTAGGGGTCGCCATCAACCCAGCCTGGGCATCACATACACAGAGATCTGCTCAAGGTGTCAGGACTGCATAGGCCATACCTTATATTCTGTATTCTGGTGCTTTTGGTATCTGGGACCTGGCTGACCCTGGAGGGACTGCCCCTTCCAGGGCTGGTCTATTCCTGAGGACAGCAAACCGTTCACCCCCAAGCACGCTTTTCAAATGCAACCCCACCAATCCAGAGCTCTCACCCCCACCCGCCTCCTTTACTGGGCTGTCACGCTCTGGGCTACAGTCCACCTGTCCTAACGGTCCCAGGGCCAGGTGCCAGACAGGTAGGGACAGCCCTTAAACCCCAGAGCCTGCTGAAATGACTCCCACTAGCCGATCCTAAGCCCGTCTGTCCCGCCTGGCCCTGTTCCTTCCATGGAAACCACAAGAGAGGCTTTTGTCCACATCCCTTCCCCCAACCTCCTGACCAACCCTGGTGCTTCCCCACATGCCCGCCCCATGGCATGCCGTGTCCCTTCTCTTGGGAATGGTGAGTAACAAACGATCTTTTCGATGGTAGTTGTCCTCTAATCTGTTTGCCTCCACAAGCCCTCAGAGTTTTTGTTGATACACCAGATTGCGAAACAAGAACTCTTCACCACCATCCTCTGGGGTTAAGCAGGGGCTCCATCTTTTCCGGTTTGAGCCAGCGCACGGGTGTGCTGAGACGGGCCTGGGGGGCGGGGCATGCCTCCCATGGCTGCCGATCTGGAAGGGAGCGCACAGCCTAGGCAGCACCTGCAGCATAGATGGGCCGCTGTGTGCGCCATGATGAGGCCTACTGTGGAGCTGCGAAGGGCACCAGCCGGCCCCCCCCCCCCACCGCCCGCACCGTGAGGGCAGACATCCTGAAGCAGGTAGCCGGGCTGAGCCTCGATTTCAACACAGTGGGCCAAGGGGGTGATAGGACGGCGTCCCCCAGCACCTTCAGCTGACCCACCCTCACACTCCCACCCCAAGAGGATGGCTGTCCCCAAGCCCCTCCTCCATAAACATTCTGAGGTCACCACTGTTTCGAAGGCAGGGTGCAGGAATGTGCAGGGTGTGGTGGAGGAACAGAGACCCGGCCTCCTGGAGGGGAGGGTCCTTGTGCTTTGGCAGCTGGACGAAGGAAGGACTGGATGGCATGGGGACACATTGGGAGGGTCTTGGCTTCCAGACCAGGGCTTCTGAATTTCCCTGGAGAAGCCGTGAGGCTCCACGGAGCAGGTGCGCAGATGTGGTCACCACGGGACTCTCGGGAGACCGCTTTGTCCTGGAAAGGCAGACAGCATGCTGCGGGACAGGCAGGAGCCCACAGTGACACCCCAGGGAAAGGGTTGCACCCCCAAGCAAGAGCAGCTACTTAACTGAAGTCAAATGTGATGTCTCAACTGGACAGTGAAAGTGTCCACGCACCTCCTGTCAGGTCAGGATTCGGCCAGAGAACTGTCGCAAGGTAGGTTTCACCAACTGGAAAAGGATCTTGTTGAATTGCAGATTCTGACTCTGGAGGTCTGGGCTAGGGCCTGGATCATGTACGTCTGTGAACGTGAGGGTTCTTCACGAGTGTGGATAACAGCCCTGCTCTTGGGGGCGGGGGTGGCCCCACTGAGTGCAGAGACCGCAAAACCCCAGGTCCAGAGCCCGCCCAGGGAAGGAGCTCAGTAAATGGTCCCTTCTGTTACTATGACTGCATCATTATTAGATGAAAACAGCCTGATCGAGGGATAAGAAGTGGAAAAGCCAAGCCATTTATAAGAATAAGAAGGGCAAGAATACAGGGTAAGAAGTGCAGCCACTGAGGAGCCCTGTCCTCACTGGATTTTGCAAATGAGAATCTGAGCAAACATACTGTCCTTATAGGATGTAATCCTGAGCCACCCCCCCCTCCATCCCGGCCACCTGAGAAAACAGTTCGGCCGTATTTCTGAAATGCATTACAATGTAAATGTTTTAGAGTCCTGGAACAAAGTAGAACTCCCTTAAAACATACTGACTTTAGGGGCACCTGGGTGGCAGTCGGTTAAGCGTCCGACTTCAGCCAGGTCACGATCTCGCGGTCCGTGAGTTCGAGCCCCGTGTCAGGCTCTGGGCTGATGGCTCAGAGCCTGGAGCCTGTTTCCGATTCTGTGTCTCCCTCTCTCTCTGCCCCTTCCCCGTTCATGCTCTGTCTCTCTCTGTCCCAAAAATAAATAAACGTTGAAAAAAAAAAAAAAACATACTGACTTTGTACTTCTAAAACTCTGCTAAAGGATGATCAACTGATAGGTTGCCAGGGGCACCGGGAGGGACTCAGTCAGTTGAGGGTCCGAGTCTTGATTTGGGCTCATGTCATGATCTCATGAACTGTGAGATCGAGCCCTACATCGGGCTCTGCACTGACAGCTCAGAGCCTGCTTGCAATTCTCCCTCCCTCTCTCACCCTCCCCACACACGCTCTTTCTCTCTCTCAAAAATAAATAAACTTTTTAAAAAATACATAAACAAAATAAAATCTAGGCGTGCCCAAGAATAGCTAATCCCTAAAGTTCCTCAGGTTTAGTCATTCATGCACCCATTTAGCCGTTTGCTCTTTGCTTTAACCAACTCTGACCGAGCCTGCTGGCCGCCGAGCCCAGCACTTGGGGTTGAGGGCCCATCACCAACCAGACAGGCTCACGGGCTCCTCCTCCTTGGGCAGCTCACAGCCAAGCAAAGAAGGCCCATTTGTCAGCAAGGCTCCTGGAGAGACCTGAGCACTTGGTGGGGTGGTCTGCAGAGAGGAAGTGCTTTCGATCTGGCTTCGGCGCCGCATCGAATGGGGGATACCTGTTTATTCCCGGGGCAGGTGGAAGTTCAGGCACCTCTCCATCCATCACTGTCCTCACTGTGTCCCGTGCACAATCGTGAGGCTTCCGGGACAAGCTCCCGCAGCCCACTGCACCAGCCAGTAGCATCTGCACGTCGTGTACCTCCAGACTAGCACTCTCGGTTACCCTGAACCCCGGTGTGGCAGGAACAGAGCGACGATGCCGGGCGTCCTTCACTCTGCCTCCAGCTCATCGGGAAAGCAACATCACAGCTTCCCGAGAATGAGTAGAAAACAAACTGGCGCTAGAAATGTGCTCGGGGGCCATCCAGATGTGCCAGTGGCCATCCAGATGGGCTAAATACCGTTCCTGAGTTACGGTCATGACTGGAGGGGACAATAATGCCTGGTGTGGTTGTTTGGGGCTGTAGCTTACTCATCAAATGGCGTGGAATTCATTCATAGCTTCTCAGAATGTAATTACTGCTAGCACTTGCTTTGTTTGGCAAAAGAAATAAACTACCTGTCCAAAAAAAGCGTGTTGTTTTGACGACTGTGTCTAGCTATGTTCTACGCTACATGTATTCAGAAGTTCTCAAATCAAGGAGACTTGCATAATTCCACAGAGGCAAGAAAGAGAGAGGGGGAGGGGGAGCTAGGCGAAATAAATATCAAAAAAAGACATTTCCCTTCCTTTTTTTAAAGTTTTTATTTTTAAGTAATCTCTACCTCCAACGTGGGGCTCGAACTCACAACCCTGAGATCAAGAAGAGTCACAGGTTCCACCGACTGAGCCAGCCCAGCACCCCAAGACATTCTACTTCAAAGCGAGAATTATCCTGGCTGACTTCCCTTCCAGTGAACAAAATGTACCCTGGCATTTTTTTTATTAAAGGATCTAAAAATGTTTTCCATTCTTAGGCGGTTCATATTGGACATCATTACTTTTCTCTGAGTATATTACATAAACTCAATTCCCTAAGACCTAAATTGTTTTTTTTTAACTTCGTATTTCATTTTTAATGATGGATTCACATGGTTCCAGAAGCCGAAGGTAACAAAAGAGTAAATGCCGCTTCCACTAAAAAAAGATAACAAGAATCGTTTCCTTCCGCTTTTACTGAGTATCTCTGACGATACTACTTGCCATCTGACCACTGAGGATTTTTTTTTTTTAATTTTTTTTTCAACGTTTTTATTTATTTTTGGGACAGAGAGAGACCGAGCATGAACGGGGGAGGGGCAGAGAGAGAGGGAGACACAGAATCGGAAGCAGGCTCCAGGCTCCGAGCCATCAGCCCAGAGCCCGACGCGGGGCTCGAACTCCCGGACCGCGAGATCGTGACCTGGCTGAAGTCGGATGCTTAACCGACTGCGCCACCCAGGCGCCCCTGACCACTGAGGATTTAAATGCAGAAGTGAGTGGTCCTGAGGAGGTCCGCCTCCCTGCGTCCTGGCTGTGCCCTGCACAGGGCAAAACGCCCCCGGCACAGCGGGGTGGCCAGACGCAATCCCCAGGGCACAGGCAGGCAGTCCCCGGACGTGGCAG